GAAATATTTTTGAGAAAGATTTTATCATTATTTTAATAAAAGAAATATTTAAATAGTAAAATAAAAGCATAGAAATGATAAGCGGTGAAGTTATTCAATAAGTTTAATACTGTAATTAATATAAATTTATGTACAAATTTTTTAATTTTTAAAACTTTTTTTAATAATTTCTTCCTATTTGAACATGTTTCTTACTTGAATATAATAAACAGTTATAATTCATTGTTGGTATTCAAGTGTCTTATTCTGTTTTAATATCAATTGAAGGATCTAAAGTGTTACTTTGTTACAGACTTATCAAACGGTAGATGTTGGAAATGACAGGAATAAACAAAACTTTATTTGATATACATATTACAAAGATGATTTCGGGTCAGATCTCTCTTCAGTTTGATTCTTAGATTTACCTGTGTTTTGTAGACATTTAGTTGTATTATTTCAAACATATTTGTATTTTTCTTAAATATAAATTACAGAGATAAGCTTCTTACAATAGGGGTTACATTTTAAGCAATGTGGTAGAGTTATGGATAATTTATTCCAATATTCTATATAAATATTTCATCAGGTGAACTTTCATTCAGAACATCAAATAAGAGTTCAAAAATATATGCATTGCTTAAAAAATAGTAAATAGAAATGTGAAAACCAGGATTATATTAGGGAACATTTTAATGTTTAAAATGTTTTACAAAATTAATTTAGTTTAAAATATTATTTTATTTCACTTGAAAAAGAGAGAAATTTATTGATATACATCACCTTTCCTCTTCCTGTGAATCAGGTGAATCAGAGGAAGTTAAGAGTTTCTTCTAAAACAAAAGTTTTAGGAGTGACAGAAACAAGTCGTGGACAACCTTCATTGGTCCACTGATTTGGTATAAAAGGTGGTGGTTGCCTTTTATCAATGCTTTCTGTTATGAATCTCATGTCATTAGCTGTGCACTATTTAACCATGTAGATAAATTTCTTGCTGTTCCCAACATATGTTTGATACATCAATCCCATTAAGAAAGAATGAGACAAGAAGTCTTCTCAACCAACAAAGAGGTTCTTGCACTACATTCCCAGGTAACGAATGAAATAATTTGTAAAATCTTTCTCAGGGCAAGTAAATGTAAACTTTAAGATAGGATAGTTAAGTGGTCACAGTGGTTGCATTATCCTTGTATTGAGATTTGGAATGTATATAGTATTATTTTAAATATTAATTAATTAGCTTAATAATCATATTGAAATTTATCAAGTATGTTATTTTGTAATCTTTATCATTATTTTTCTATGTATACATAAATACAGTTGTTTTATATTCTAAATTGGATCAGGCCTACTTTCATTGCTGAATTAATATCCCCTCCTTATCACTCAGAATAAAATTGAAATAATTCAATCTCTATCGTGAGTTGGAACGCGATATAAAATATTTATTTTAACTGGTGTCAGACTCCTGACATTTGAATGATCTTACGATTTTTCAAAACAAAATAAAATCATCCATCTTGTACAGAGCAAGCAGAGCCCCACAGCTCCTGATCTCACAGAAGCATTTTTGTTTTATTTTTACATTTAAAATTTGAACTTGGTTTAAGTTATATACAGTCTTATTTTTGAAATACATATCTTTGTTTTGTAAGTTTTTATACTTATTTATTTTCGAATCTAAGTTTTTTTACATACTAATCATAATTATATTTAAAAGAAATTAATTATAAATTATACTTAACTAATCATTTTAATTTGAAATTGAATCTTAGCACCAGAAGTGAATGACAACATAGCAAGAAAACAGATATCAAAACTGATTTCCTATTCAGAAGGAACTATAGATGACGCCGATGAAAAAGAAGACTCTGATTTTGAAGAAAGAGCAAATAGTGATGATTCTATGGTAAATATAATATTTTTGAATTTCTTTTTAAAATTTGAAATATTTTTTTAGATATAAAAAATCACATATAAAATATACAAACAATACAATTATGTAATGTATAAAACATAAAAATTTATAAATTAATCTAAAATGCTATAATAAACCATTTTATTTTACTTATTATTGCCTAAATATATTACAGGCATACCTCACTAATATGGCAGATAAGGTTATAAATTCCTGCCATAAAATCATTAAATGAATCAGTTTTTTCACTGTGTGTGAAATCTTAAAAACATATATAATAAATATTTTAATTATGCAATAGTACTGGACATAAGAAAACAATACAAAAATAAAAATAGTGAGTAACAAAACCTCCTTAAGAGCAAAACAAGCACTGAAAGTAATAAAACATGAATGTAATTGAAAAGCAGTGTATTAAAGCACTCTAAAGCAAAATCCATAAACTGAGGTATGTCTGTATTATTCTAAAATATCCTTTTATTGTGTAATTATTAATTTTAACTTATACTTTCAGAAATTATAAATATTTTTATAAATATTTGTTTATTTGGTGTAGGAAGATGATGAAAAGTTAAATGATTTGGATACATGGCAATATTCTCCAAGTATTAATTTAAAGATTTTTTTTTTAATTTTCAAATTTAAATATAAAATATTTAATATCTTTTTAATAATTATTTTTCTTTTAGCTTCTTTTCATAAAAGCCTTCTTTCTTTAAAACCTGAAGAAGTACAATTACCTCCTGCACCTAGAGGAAGGTGTTCAAATTCACTTCAGGTATAATGATGATATTTTTATTATATAGATTTATAACTACATTTTTTTTATAATAAATGATGCATTTATTTTACATAACATATGATTTATTATTATGTATTATTAAAGATTTTAATAATACAGTTTAACCTGTGTATCTCAAACATGTTTATCTTGAAATTTAGTTTTTTCCCTGCGTTTTCAGATAAAGAGGATATTCTTTTTACAGAAATATTAAAAGCATAAAAAGTTGAATAACTGCTATCTTATTATACTCTCCAAAAATATATGTTATAGAGAGAATTAAGGATTGTCACAGTGATAATACATCTCTAAAACAAAACCATTCTGGGCCCTTAGTCTCCAGTTTTTTGTGTTACAACTCCCAATGTGTTGAAGCTGTCATGTGGTACCATCTCACACACTGATGTTAGATTGGTAGTCTCGAGTTATAACTGACGTGCTTTCCCATCTCACCATTTGAGTTCTTACTCACTTTGAGTTGAACATGTGAGATTTCTACATGAAAGTGAAAATGGCTGACGGATATGCTGTTCTTATTTGCAATCGAAACGTTAGAGCCGAAAGTTGTTTAAGAAGACAACAAATTATTTTGACCACGAGTAGATGCCATATCTTTTTGTGTCAAGTCAACACTAATAAAAGAATTTTAATTCATAATTGATAAAATTATACAGCAAATTTTTCCAAAAATAAAAAGAAGTACCTAATTCATCAAAAAAGAGAATTAAAATTATAGTAAATTATATGTATAAATTATTAAGAGCATAGACACTATATTAAGATTATTTATTAATCAGGATTAAGTTCTGATTAATAAATAATCTTAATAGACAAAACAATTTAAGAAATAGATCAAGGAAGAAAACTATATGAAGAAAGGATTAAATTAAAATAGTTTTTTTGTTACACAACAGATTTTTTAGCTCCAACACATGCAATTAATTTTTCAACTAATTCTCTCTACAAATCGAATTCTCTTTTTCTTGTAAATTTGTTGTCAAATTTTCCACTGTTTATTTTCTTATTATTTTCTATATATTTCTTTTTGTTCTGTTTGCCTATTTTTTAAAATAAAACACTGGAGGTTTCCATTTTGTTTTTTGCGTACTATATTGCTATAAGACAAAACTTTCAACTGTAACATGCATAAACTAATTCACGTTGATTTGTTTACAACTTGTTACAGTTAAGTTGATTGGTCGAATCATTATAGTTGCAAACACAGATGCATTGTAAATAATCCCATCATTCTTAATGACACACATAACCAAGTGAGTATGACGTATTTCCACTTGCCTTTCGAGTTTGCTCGATGGGTCTAACTCAAGACTACCAATTATGTGAGTCATAGTAACATGAGTGAGTTTGATGACATCAATTCGAGTACAACACGAAAAACTCTAGACTAAGGGCCCTATCAAATTGTATCTGGAATCAAATGGTGAAAATTGAGAGCCTAAAAGTTGGAGATAACCTTTAAAATTTTTTATAGATACTACTCAATTAAAAGCAATATTTTTTTCTTTAAATCATAGCCAATACTTTGATACCTTGTATTATATTTNATTACTGTTATCAGTATCTATGCTCATTTTATGTTTAATGAATAAGTCCAATTTCTCTTTCATTATTAAAATTGACTTTTTTATTGTGCTCTTTGTTACCTTAGCTATAAAAATGAATAAACTAATTATATTTTATTATATAGAACATGATATCCAAATAGCAGTGTGATATGGATCTTAACTTAGACTATAATTCCTAAATCAAGTCTATGTAAAAATATCAAAATTAAGTGAAAAAAATATTATATTAATTTGTTTGATATCTAGTTAAACCTTTTTTTAATTAGAAATAATGAGACTTTTTTCTTATTCTGATGTTATAATCTTCTATGTTACACTTAATGCCAAGTCACACAATTAAATAAATTTAACCACTGTTTGTTGGTATTAAATAACTTTACATAAATTACACAAGTACTCTCGATAGTGTATAACTGTCATCTTCAAGCAAAAATTGGAAATTATAACCAAATGCTTCTGAATTTCATAAGGAATTCAAGAAAGGAACATATTTTCAAATGTAATGTAATTTAAAACATACCGTGTTTCCCCGAAAATAAGACAGTGTCTTATATTAATTTTTGCTCTGAAAGATGCGCTAGGTCTTATTTTCAGGGGATGTCTTATTTTTCCATGAAGAATTCACATTTATTTTTGAACAAAAAAATTCCCAAGTTGAACTTTGACGAGAGTGATGTATATTTGGTCATGTCAAACTGAACTTAAATAAAACCGAAGTCACGAACTGAAGTGAACTTACAAAGTTCCCGTGCTGGAGTGGACTTCCCACTTGCGTTTCAACTTAACCTTTTTATAGCATCGACATCTGGCTCAATGACCAATTAGTGCTTACTGAACCGTAGTACTATGCAAATGTGATGTGGCGTGATTCCCAGCCGACTAATTAGCAATCACCAGCCGTAACATTATGCAAATCTGTGATTCCCAAGCCATAGTCTTATGCAAATCATGCCGTGTGGCATGATTGTCTGCTGACCAATCAGTGGCTGTACTTTCAAAAAGCCAACGGCCACTTTCAACCATCTGTCGATGACCGTTACCAGTAAAAAAACTTTGCTATGTCTTACTTTTGGGGGAGGCCTTATATTTAGCAATTCAGCAAAACCTCTGCAAGGTCTTATTTTTGGGGAAACACGGTAGAACAAAACACAAAAATTTTTTAAAATATTAGATTAGAAATAAAATGTTATATTACTACTATTAGTTTATTGATGTCATTATTTAAATGGAAAACTTATATTTAAGAGCATTTAATTGCCTTAAATGGAGAAACCCAAAGGTTAGAAGCTGAAATGTGAATTGATTATATGTTTTGCAAGAAAAATGTATATTGTTTCTGTTTCCTAAATAAATAGCACATTATGATCACTACACTGGTAGAGAAAGTTGGCTTCTGCCTACAAAGGCTTGTAATTATAATCCAAAGCCTTAGCTAATTCTATGCTATACCTTTCATGCAAGATATTGTCCTAGTACTCTGATAGCTTACTAGCAAGCATTCTAGATGTAGTCCCTATGTAAGAAAGATTAGAGATTACTCTTATGGGATTTTATAAACTCCCAACTTCTGCACATAATATCTGTCACTATCAATTACATAACATTCTACATAAAGAGGTTTTTGATTTGATGAGAACATATCCATACTTCTCTTTCTGCTTAATAGTAGTGCAAAATGTGTTTTAGTAATGATGATGGTTGGATATAGTGATTGCAAATTTACCAGGTATTACATTACTGGTAATTTGATAATTATATTCGGGATTGCCGATTTATTGGTAATTTACCAGTAAATTCGTATTAACAAATGATTTAAAATGAAACTGAATTACTGACAGAATTATTGGACAACCATTTATTTTTAAGTTTTCTATCAATTTAGACAAACAACATTCTTGTAATAGCAATTATTATGACATAACAGACATTGAAATAATGCTAATAATTAAATTAGCACTCAAAAAACCTTAACAGTCCAGTACTAAATATTTAGTACTAGATTGTTAAGGTTTTTTGGGTGTTAATTTATATGCATTCCAGTATTCCTGTATGAAGGTTTTTTAATTTAAGTTATGCTGATAATTATGTTTTTCTTTATTTTGAAAGTAGGCTCTTAAAAAACAATACATTTAGGCTTTCGTTGTCTAATCTAGATCTAATTTTCATACAAATGGCAGCTGTATTAGAAAAAGTTCTCTTGGAATCAATACTAGTTGGATGTACTATCATTAGAGTATTGAAAACCTTTTTAAGATACAATCCTTTATTTTTTGCTCTACGAAATAATTAATTTCTTTCTTAACTATATCTTTCACACTTTTAAACTTACTTATATTACTGTTATCAGTATCTATGCTCATTTTATGTTTAATGAATAAGTCCAATTTCTCTTTCATTATTAAAATTGACTTTTTTATTGTGCTCTTTGTTCTTGTGTTGACTTGAGAAGTTGCTTAGGTAAGCAATGAACACCTTTCACTAGAATCTGAGTCTGAACTAATTTCAGTGACATCCGCAAATCATGATTTGTTTTCATTTTTTGATAAGTGCTTGATTATTTCTACAATCCTATTCAAAATTATATTTTTATTAACATTATTGGATAGTTCATGTGACTTATATTTTGGTTTTGTGGGTTATTTTCCTGTATTATACTCCAAAAATGGGTCTTGATTTTGGAGTATAATACAGGGAATCAAGTTATAAAAAAACTAGAAAATTCCTTTTAATAACCTTAAATTACAAATTTAATGACCCATCACCACCTGCACTGTTTTCTTGCTATGGTATGGGGGAGACAAAAAAGAAATCTGCTTCCCACAGGTATTTCTTGTGGGAATTTTAGGAAAATAAATGTCTAATTAATTAAGAGGTTTTTAACCGAAATACTGGTAAAAAAAGTTAATTACTGGTAAATATAATGGGGTATAATTTTCCTAATTTACTGTTATACCAGTGAACCAGTTATTGATAATGCAATCACTAGTTGGATCCATATAAACTTTACAAGCAGCCCTCAAGTGAACAGTTTCACAGAACAAGCAGGAATTCAGTGTAAGTTACAAAGTGATGCTACACCATTTGACTGCTTCAATATATTTTTTGATGATGAACTTTTAGGCAAGATTGTTGAAGAAATGAACAGGTATGCTGATACTTTGATGAAATGTGACAAATTATGTGAAATCAGTCACATAAAACACTGGAAACTTACAACAAATCCAGAAATTAGAGAATTTTTAGGACTTACTATAATTATAAGTATTATTAGAAAACCTTGCCTAAGTATGTATTTTACAACTGAAGATGATTTTTCTATACCATTTTTTTCAAGTGCAATGTCAAGCAACCGATTTCTGCTTTTATCATCATGTTTGCATTTTACAGACAATGATTAAGTGTCAGATGGTGA